CTAAAGTAAGACTTGATCAATCCTGACTCTTCTATTTATAAACCAATTTCCTTGTGAAAGACATTGAGTCTCATTAGGACTGTTTCTTCATCTCTAAAATGAGCAAGACAAGATGGGTACATGTGAGGATTAAGTGATAAATGCTTTTAAAGCACTCAGCTATACACAGCATGTGGTTAGTGTTTGGTAGTGGTAGATGCTGCCACTGCTGTGGAGAGGCAGGTGGGGGAGAGGCCTGAACAGGCATTCTAACAATAGTGCGCTCAGGGCAGAGCAGAAGGGAAGAGCTTGGGGCACTTAGAACTGAGGAGGGAGTGTGCAGGATAAGTGCTTACGCACGTCTGCCCTTCCTGGAGGGTACCAATTTTTGAAAGGATGTGGTACTTTGAGCAAGAGTGAGAGGTTCCCTCTGGTCAAAGCAAAATGTGAGACCAGATGAAGCAGGGAGATCAAGGCTGTGGACAGGCCAGCGCGGACCTGATGCTAAAGGGCCTTATGGTTCACACCAAAGGCCCAGACTTTGTTTTGAGGGCAGTGGATGCCTTTGAAGGAAGTAAAGCAGAGTGGTGACCAGGTCACATCAGAGCTTTAGGTACATGAGTGTGGAGCCTGGTTTTGGGGTGTGGGGAGAGCATGAGTAGAGGTGCTTAGGAGTTAGAGCAGTCAGGAGAGTGTTGGAAAGAGTTCAAGAGAGATGTTGGTGCAACTGTGACTGTGGCCATGGGATTGCAGTGAGGGCATGAGATTCAAGAACCACTTAGTGGGGGAATTGCTAGGGCTGGGGGACAAGCAGGGTGAACAAATAAAAGTTCTTGCTCAGATTTCTGGCTTGGGCATCAAGACAGATGCTAACATTCGACATAAGGGACAGGGACAAGTTTGGAGTTGGGAAGAGGATGAATTTAAGCTGAGAATTTCTGGGAGAAGGTCAAGAGGCAGGCCATGGCTAGAGGAATGGGCATCTGCACTGCAGATGGTAGAGCCCTAGGAATGATTTGCTAAATTGGTTTAGTCATTACTGACCTGACAAGGTCCTCCCTGTGTTACTGCAGCAAGGGCCAGACTGGCTGGAGCTCTCCGAGATGACTGAGCAGCCGGACTATGACCTGGAGACCTTTGTGAATAAAGCGGAGTGTGCCCTGGCCCAGCAAGCCAAGCACTTCTCAGCCTTGCGAGGTGGGTGCGGCTGGAGGATGGGGCCTCTGTGGACAATGACAGCTCTGCCTTAGGGAACGGAGCTTCTGAGAGACCCACTAACCCCAAGTGCACCACCTCTTCCTTCCAGATGTCATCAAGGCCTTGCGTCTGGCCATGCAGCTGGAAGAGCAGGCCAGCAAACAAATCAGCAGCAAGAAACGGCCCCAGTGACGACTACAAATAAAGATCTGTTTGGTGTCACACCCAGCCTTTCCCCCTCCCCCTCCCTCTTCAGCCAATTCTGGGCACCTAGTGGGTCTTGTCTGAGCTGGGACAGGCTTTGGTAAATGACAGGGAGGGAGGCATCTGGGCCTGGGGAAGCTGGGGAGGGGTCAGAGTGCATGGGACACTACTTTCCTTTTCCTCAATTATAGCCCTGAAGAGAACAAAGATGGAAGGAGGGAGCTTTTAGTTCTCCTGTGCGCTGCCCTTCTCTCCAGGAGGGGAAGGCTCTCTGGTGTAGAGTTTTCCCTCGGGCAGCACTCTGCCCATGTGGACTGGCTGCTGGTGGAGGGCTCCCTGGGGTTGTCCTGGCTCTGGGGAGAGGGAAGGAGCCTTTAGTTCAGCTCTGCTGGCCCTGGCCAGCTTTCCACACCCTTGGTGGGGCACCAATATGTCTTGTACTTTAAAAAATGTTTCTGGGACCTCTTTCTTAATGTTATTTGAGGCACAAGAGGATCCCTGCTGTTTTCTGTATTTATACATTGTGTCTAATAATAAAGAGAAAAATTCAGCCTGTTGAGTGGTGTGTGGGAAGAGCCTGGAATGTGTCTGAGCCTTCTGGGACTTAGGACACAACTGCACCTTGGAGTAGTGTTTCTCTGCTCTGCACAGGAGGGCAAATCCACACCTACAGTTTCAGTGACATAGTGAAGACCTCTGCCTTGTTCAGTGCTGACAAGGTCCCAGGCCCCCTCCTGGGCACAGGAGCTAGAAGCAGGAAGGAGATGGTATTCTGTCAACTACAGTCTGCTTAAGGCATGTTGAAAGATTCTGTGGGAACACTGACAAGAAAGCACTTCCTTGCTAGACAGGGAAGATTTGAGTACCATTCAAATATTTATTGTTTCTTAAATGCCAGGCATTATGCTAGCTGTTGGAAATACAGTAGTGCACAACACAGTTCCTACTCTCATGCTTAGTATATTTTAGTGGGGAAGACACATAATGAGCATGTAAAAACAATGTTAGCATTGAGTGGATAGAGAAAGACAAGGGTTGCTACTTTAGAAAGCAGTCTCGGAAAAGGCCTCCCAGCGTGTGTGTGATGGGGGAGAACAGTGTGTGCATGTGAGATTTTAAGCAGAGACTTGAAGTGAGGGAGGAAGCCATGCTAAGACCTAGGAGAGGAGTATTTTCTCTGAGCATGGAAGCCTGAGGCAGGAACAGCAGGGTCTGAGTGCCTGGAGTTGAGTGAGTGGGATAGGTAGGAGTTAAGAGGTCAAGTTGATAAATCAAAGAGATAAGCAGAGGTCTGACATTCCTGGGTCTTCTAGGCCATAAGGAATTCATACATATATTTTAAAGCAACTTGTTGCATTTGTTTTATGATGTATCAAATGGGCTTTATAAACATTTAAAAACATTTTAATTCCGTAATCTGTAGGCTATTTAACAATCACAAACATCTCCAATGTTACACTGGATTCATGAGACAGGAGACATTCCCACCTTATTCTTCGAAAAAGTTTGTGTAAAATTGATATAATAGTCTTAAATGTTTTTAAGAATTCACTAGTGAAGCCATGTGGACATGAAGTGATTTTTGTTTGTTTTTCTGCCAAAAGGAATTTAAGATTTTTACTCTGAATATGCTGGGAAGCCAGTGGAGCGTTGAAAGCACAGCAGAAAGGATAATGTTGGGAGAATCCTTTCCCAGGGATCGGAAAGGATCTGGAGCCAAGGGGGAAAGGGTCTATCCATGAGGCAGTTCACTTCTTTAAAAAACTGCCCCCTGCTTTGAGTTTCTCACCAGCCACCAGGCTAACTCCTCTCTAAAGTCAGACTTCTCAAAGATTATCTACACATACAGTATCTTATCTTTTTAACTTCCCTTCCTGTTTAAAATTTTTGAAAAAACTAACCCAGTTTTTGCCTATTCCACTGCACAGAAATTGCTGTTACCAATGCCACTCAATAATCCAATAACCACTTTTCAGTCCTCCTTTTAATTAGACTTTTGTCACAGTGAGCATTAAATTATGCCATCACCCTGTGCTGGCCTTCCTTCAGCCACTAATTGCTCCCTCTGGCTCTTTATCTTACCATTGCTCAAACCTTGGTCCTAGGCCCTCTTGTATTTCTTTGTGCCAGGGTTTGGCACACTACTGCATGCTTATGGGGCCCGTGAACTAAAGAATGGTTTTCATGTTTTAAATATTTGAAAAAAAATCAAATTCATGTTTCATGACAGATGAATCCCAGTATCCATAAAATTTTACTGACATACAGCCTCAGTCAATTGTTTACTATTGTCTATGGCTGTGTTCACACTACAGCAGCAAAACTGAGTGGTTGTGGCACAAACCCTACAGCCCACAAAGGCTAAAGTATTAACTTACCCTATGCAAGAAAATGGTCCCTAGGTTCTGTTCATTCGGGTAGCTTCGATTACCATTTATATGACAACGATTACCAAGGTCACAACGGCCGCCCAGATCCATTCTCAGGATAAGCATCCAGCTGCCTGTCATCCCCACGTGCAAGTCACCAAGAGCTCAAAATGAACACGTCCAGAGCAGCTCCCACCTTAGCCTACCCCATCTCACTAAATGGCGCAGATAGGCATCCAACGGATCCCGGATCCCGAGAGGAATTTGGAATACTTCACACACCTCCCTCTCCCGAAAACAAACCCCAAGTCTACCACACGTTTCCACCTCTACTGCCTTCCACCCTTCTCCAACGCACTCGCATACACAACTCTCATCCTGGGCTACTGCAGCAGCATCTAAAACAGGTCTTTTCAGAACGTAAACAAAGCTGGACACCCACCCGTCCCCGCCCACGGGGTGCTCTAGAGCCCGCACTTCTCCGGGAGGCCAGCACCGGGCCTGACTCCGCTAGACCCTCGCCCGGCCCCTCGCCCCGGAGCTTCCGCGCGCTCAGGAACCTACCAGGCCCGAGGCTTCGGCGCCGCGTAAAAACGTCAGCACCGCCGTCCTCCAACCCCAGGACGCTCTCCGCGGCGCCCGGAAGATACGTAAAGGGGCGGGGCTGCGTTTTACAAACCGAGCCGTGACGCGCCGTGTTTTCTCTTTCTAGCCAGCGCCGAGCGATGGGTGAGTGGCACCCTGCGTCGGGGCCGGGGCCGGGGAGCGAGCTCAATCCGGCGCCATCCTGCCTTGCGGCCCAGCAGGGAGTGCGGGCGCCCGGCTCCCGGGCAGCGAGCCGCAGTGAAGAGGGTGATGCTCGGGCTTGGGCCGCCC